AAATCCACACTTAAGACACATCTCTGTAGCCCCGTGTGACCAGTGGTAACCTCTCTGGAAGGCTCAGGTCTAGGCAAGACCCGATTTTGCCCACTTATGACTCACCTCTCTCACATCTCCCTAATCCCAGCCCTATTAGATCCTGTCTTTACTTAAAATGTTGATATTTTGGGGGCGCCTGGCTGGCTCAGTCAGTGGAGCTTCTGACTCCTGATCTCAGGGTTGTGGTTTCGAGCCCCACGTTGGGTGTAGAGATGACTTAAAAATAAAATCTTAAGGGGCGCCTGGGTGGCTCAGTCGGTTAAGCGTCTGCCTTTGGCTCAGGTCATGATCCCGGGGTCCTGGGATCGAGCCCCGCATCGGGCTTCCTGCTCTGTGGGAAGCCTGCTTCTCCCTCTCCCACTCCCCCTGCTTGTGTTCCCTCTCTCGCTGTGTCTCTCTCTGTCAAATAAATAAATAAAAATATTTTTTAAAAAAATCTTAAAAAAAATTAAATTGTTGATATTTTCTTCATCGTGGATTTTTCACATTAATTTTGATCTTCAAAAATATTGCACTCAAGGGCCACCTGCTGGCTCAGTCGATAGAGCATGTGACTCCTGATCTTGGGGTGGTGAGTTCAAGCCCCTCATTGGTGGTAGAGGTTACTTAAAAAAAAAAATACTGCTTTCAAATCTTATTTAGTCTCCCCCACAAAACTTGTACAGAATATTCACAGCAGCGTTATTCATATCAGCCCCAAAGTGCAAACAACCCAAATGTCCATCCACCGATCAACGGATTAAAAAAATGTGATGTATCCCCACCACATAAAAAATCACCAAGTAGTGATACATGTTCTGACATGAAAAAGCCTTGAAAAGTGAGTGAAGCCAGTCCCGAGTGACATTGTAGGAGTCCATTCATACCTAGAGACAGAAAGTTGATTAGGGGGGCCAGGGGCTAGGGAGGGTGGAGGGGAAATGGGGGATGACCGCTGATGGGTACCGGGGTTTCTTTTTAGGGGGATGAAAATGTTTTAAAATTGATTGTAGTGGTGGGTGCACAATTCTGTGAATATACTAAAAACACCAAATTGTATACTTTAAATAGGACAATCGTAGGACACGTGAATTTTATCTCAATAAAGCTGTTATAGGGGCGGCTGGGTGGCTCAGATGGTTGGGCGTCTGCCTTTGGCTTGGGTCATGATCCCCAGGGTCCTGGGATGGAGCACCGCATTGGGCTCCTGGCTCGGCAAGGAGCCTGCTTCTCCCTCTCCCTCTGCTTCTCTCCCTGCTCATGCTTTCTCTCTCTCTGTATCTCTGTGTCTCAAATGAATAAATAAAATCTTAAAAAAAAAAAAAAGCTGTTATAAAAAATGTTTCGGGGCGCCTGGCTGGCTCAGTCAGTAGAGGATGTGACTCTTGATCTTGGGGTTGTACATTCAAGCCCCGCATTGGGTGTAGAGATGACTTAAAAATCTTAAAAAAAGAAAAAGTTTCATCTTGATTACTGAGTGTTTGCGTGACCCTGTGAATTCTGGGACCCAACCCTGCAGAGTGCCTCACTCTCCTTAGCCGGCAGGACCCTACTGCTCCTCCCACACCAAGCTCAAGGACAGCTAAGGTGGGGAGAAGGCCCCACGGTCGGCAAGGAGGGAGGCCTGCGCAGAGAGGTGGTAAAGCCAGGGAGACGTGGCCAGATGTGCCCACAGCACCCCTTTTCCTGCCAGAGGCCATGGGCTTCCCTGAGCTGCAGGTTCCCAAGCAGGCGAGGGCAAAGGGCAGGAATGCTGGCTCTTCCTGGGGTTTCCACAAAGCCTAAGTCCAAGGGCCCCTGCCTGCTGGCCTTACCAGACAGCCTGACTCCGTTTGTCACTGTGTGCATGTGACCCACTGCTGTCCCCGGAGTGACTCAGGAGGCCTGGAAGCCCCTTGGGGCGGGGGGACACACCCAGCTGCCCACGGTGACTTCTCCACAGACATGGTGGAAACAGGCTGTGGCCTCCCGGGCCAGGCAGGGCTCCTGGGGGTAGCCCATCAGGGTCTTGGCCCCACATCCCAACCTCCAGAGGGCCTAAAGGACCGGAGGAGGGGGTGGGGAACTCTTCTCAAAGGGCCTTTGTGGGAGCGGCTGGGGGGGCTGCCGGGGGACCCCGCCCTGCGTGACTCACGCCTCATTGCTGGGCAGTGACTCACGCCCAGGCCCCCCTCTGGCCCGCCTGCAGCAGGTGCTGCCAGCTCCGGCCTCAGGATGGGGGCCTTTGCGTTCATGCCATCCTACCCCGGGCCTGGGACCCACACCCATTTCCATGGGCACCTGCCCTGCGCTGACCTCCTTGCCCTACCAGGAGGGCTCAAACCACTGAGAAAACGTCCTACACTCCCTCCCCTCCTTGGTAGGGGGCAGACCTCCGATACTGAGATGTGCCAGCCGTTGTCTCACTACCGAGTCATGGACCCTCGAGCCACTCGAGAGGTAGGGAATTCTTGCCACCTCCGTTTAAGACGGGGAAACTGAGGCTCCGTGAGATTATGGAGTTTGCCCAAAGACACAGGAGATCAAACCGAGTCGGGGCACACCACGACTGCTGCCCTGGAGTGTAACAGGGGAATGATAGCTGCCTCGTGCACCAGTGGAGGGTTACCGCATCCTGCAATGTCGCCTCCATTTTACCGGCGAGCAAACTGAGGCAACGAACGCACAAGTCACAGACCAAGAGTGAGAGGCTGGGTCAGGAATCGAACGGAACCCGAGAGCTGGGGCCTGGCTCCGCCGCTTCCCCGTGGGCCTCGGGCACCCACTTGGGGGCTGGGACGCCCCCGCCGCCGGGCCCCTCCAGCCGCGGGGACCGGCAGAGGCCGGGCCGCCCGCCAGGCTGCCGGGCGCGTTGCCCGGCCGCATCACGCCGCTGTGAGTCACCGCGCGCGCCGGCCCCGCCCCCCCGCGCTAACAAACAGCGCGTTGCCGGGCAACCGCCGCCGGGGCCCGCCCCGTCCGCCCGCGAGACCCCGGTTCGAGCCTCCCGCCGGGTGGAAGCTGCGCGCGGCTCCGGGACCTGTGGCCTTACCGAGATTAAGGACTCCGATCGGGCCTGCAGTCCCGGTGGGCGCAGACATGAGGGCTCAGGAGACAGCGGTGGTTCAGTGGGGGTCGGGGGACAGAGGGTGTGTCGCCGCAAGCCAGACGCTCCTTTGGTTCTCCCGAGGCGGTGCCGAGCTCAGGGGATGGCACCGTGCACTCGCCGTGGGGTGAGAAGAGCCCTGAGGAGCTGGGCCGGAGCTGTGACCAAGGGGTCGAAACCGTTTTTGTAGAGGGACTTAGGGTGCCTGCCTGGGGTTGGGGGATCAGGAGGGCTGTAGTGGGATAATTTGGCTTCTCCTCCTCCTCCCCGCCACCCCCCCCCCCCCCGGCCGTAAAGGGGCTAACATTTAATACATTCTGTGTTCCAAGCTGGTCTACACACGTGTGTACCTACGTATATTAACTAACTTAATGTTCACAATAGCCCTCTGACAGTTCACAGGTATTATTCCCGCTTTACAGGGGGGGAAACTGAGGCACAGAGGCACAATTCTTTGCCAGAGGATGCAGAGCTCCGAGTTTGAATCCAAGCGGGTGACGTGGGCTCCCATGGCTCTCTCCGCCAGGTGCGTGCGCCATCGTGGCCGTGGTCCTATCTGGGGGAGTCTGGAGCATGGGTATGAGCGCCAAGCCCACCTCGGAGTTTAGGTGGGACATGCAAGTGTGTGGTGGGGGCTGTCGACAAGACAGTGGAAGGCCTTGCCCTCCAGAAGCTGTACCAGGCTCTCTCCCAGACTGCCAGGCTATTTGAGGGCAGGGAGAAAGTTTCCAGAAGCCAGTTACCACTCCGCTCTGGCTCCCCAGGACCCCATCAAGCTGCCCACAGGACCCCGGAAGGGTGGGGAAAAGAGCAGGTACCAGCACCAGAGCAGGGGCGCGGCACGTGTGCCTCTCCCGCCCCCCTCACCTCCACTGGGAAGTGACCATCTGTCCTGAAAGGGATCACCTCTGCATCATTTAAGATAAATATTTTACTCAAACGATTGAATAAATCGCTCAAATGGTTAAGTGCGGAGACAAAAGAGTACAGGGTTCCTGGAGAGTCTAAAGTCAGAGGGTCATGGTGGGAGGTAAGAAAGGCTTCCCGGAAGAAGTAATGCCCTAGGCTCTGCAGGATGCTCCTGAGTGGGCAGGTGAGTGTGACCGGCTGGGGAGAAGTGGGGATCTGACAAGCAGGGCCTGTGATCAGAAGAGGTGGGGACCAGGGAGAAAGTTTTTGCAGGGGATGGTAGAGGGAAGATGTGATTTGATTGTCTCTGGAGAAGGGGTGGAAGGGGTAAGGGAAGAAGCAAAGGAGACGGGAGAGGTGTCTCTTGGGAGTGTTTTCAGGCCAGAGATGATGGTTGCCAGATTTAGCAAATAAAAATACAGGAGACCCAGTTGAATTTGATTTTCGGATGTAGAACAAGTAAATTATTTTTTAAGTATAAATATGTCCCAAGTATTGCATGGGACATAACATACGAAAAAAATGATTCCTTGTTTATCTGAAAATCAAATGTAACTGGGTGTCTTGTGTTTTATCTGGCAAGAATACTCGAAGGTCTCAAGCCCCCTACTCCCTGCCTCCCCAGGGATGGGGGAAAGAGAAGAGCTAATAATATTGAGCAAAAGCATTTCAAGGGGAACACTATTGTCCCATTTTACAGATGGGTAAACTGAGGCCCAGAGAGCTTTTGGTAAGTCGTCTATATAGTTGTGAGTGACCCCCCCGCCTGGAAACCAGGCGTGTCGGTTGCAGTCCACCAGCAGGTTAGAGCTGGCACACCCCCTCCTCCACGGAGTTGGGGGACGGGGCCTGGGCACGAAGGTTCCCTCGGTTTCTGGTGGCCCGAAGGCCCCCTCCCGCAGCCCGGGATCTGTGCCACCACCCCCCCTTGCGCCCCTCCTCCCAGGACACCGAGGCAGTGGGAGGGACCGGAGGCGGCCTCAGGGGGGCTCCTCTCCCCGGCTGCGGCTCGGCCTCGCCCTCCTCCAGGCCGGGAGGAGCCGCCGTCTGCGCCCGCCGGCAGGGGGAGGGGGAGGGTTATTTTTACCTCCCTCCAGGCAGCCGGGGCGACAGGAAGTGAGCGCGCGGCCCGCCAGATGTGGGGAGCCAGGCAGCTGGGAGCAGCCACAGCTGGACTGGCGGCCGGCCGGGGTCGGGGCGGGGGGCGTGGGGAGGCGGGGTGTGCGGAAGGCGGATCCCAGGCCTCGGGTCCCCCCTTTGTTCCCCGCCGCCCTAGCCTCGCGTCCGAGGTCCCCCCCTTCACCCCCATCCCCCCGCTCCTCCCGGTGGTGGCTTCGCTGTCCCCCATCTGTGCGCCGGTGCCCTCGCTGCTCACGGGCTCTCGGGTCCCGGGCGGGAGGGGGGCGGGGACCCTGCTCCCCGGCGTGGGGACCCCCGGGTCCCAGCGGAGTGAGGGGTGGGAGGGGGAGACGGCCCCTCGTCGGCCCCTCGTCGGCCCCGCCTGCCACCGCCATTGTTTACCCGTCGGCTGCCTCCTAGGAAACTTAACCCGCCCGCGGTAATTTTATTTGGGAACTTCGGCCAGTTGCCATAGCAACCCCCAGTGACGTCAGAGGGGCTGGGGCCCGAAATCCCCGGGAAAGGGGGGGATGGGATGACGGGGGAGACCCCCAGGAGGGCCCCTCCTTAACCCTGCTCCTGCCAGGCCCCAGGCAGAGGGGAGAAGGCAGCCAGATGTGACAACTCTTGGGCGCCCCCATTCTGGCGCGGTGCCAAGTGAGGGTGGCAGGCCAGGCCCTGATGTCATCCGGTGCTGGGTGGGTGGTGAGTCAGTCCTCGGATGGGGGCTGGGCCGGGCCTGGGGGCTATTCCCGTCTGGCTCACCCCTCCAGTGCCCCGGAGCAACACCCAGACCCTGCCCTAGGGATTTCAGGCGCCAGGCTGGGGGGTCCCCACAGGTCCCTGGGGGCTTCTCCTTCTCTGAACTCTAGGTGGGTAGGCAAGAGCTTTCCTGGTGCTCCCCCACGGGTCTAGGGTGGGCTGAATGCAAGGGTTAGCGGCAGTGAATTGGGGCCACCTCATAATGTCCTTCTCTGGATGTGGGGAATGGCCGGAGCCCCAGTGAGGGGGCAGGTGGTGGGATCCCTGCTCACTCCGTAACACCCCCTGTCACCAGGGCGATGGGAGGCCAGGGCCCAGACTGGCAAGGAGGAGCGCGCGCGCCAGGGGGGCTGGGCTGGGAGGAGCCACCCTAACCACAGTGACGTGGGACTTCCTCGGCAGGGCCTGTTTGATGTCTCTGTGTGCAGCGTTGCCATGGGGCCCGGCAGGCAGCCCTGCGTGTGAGCTGGGGTGACCTACAGGGCGGCTGGGTCTGCCAGGGTCCCTTGACCCAGCGCCCCCATCCCAGGCCTACATGACTGCGAAGACCTGGTACACCTCTGCGCACATGCTTATCCAACTTTGACCCACCCCAGGCCCTGGGCCAGGACATTTATTCTCATCTCCTCTCAGAGCCTTGTGACAACTGCAAACTGCACATTTTCGAGATAAAGAAACTGAGGTTCAGAGAAGTGTGATCGTTTGGCCAAAGATAGTCAGCTAGAAAGTCGGGGAGCAAGCATTTGAAACTCAGATCTTCTCCCACTCTGCTCCGCTCCTCCCTCCGTCACGCTGGTCTCCTCATTGTTTCTCAAATCCGCCAGGCATGTTCCTGCCTCGCACAGGCTGTTCCCTCCACCTTGGACTTTTCCTCCAGATGTCTGCATGGCTCCTCCTTCACCTCCTACCAGTCTTTGTTCAAATGTCACCTCCTCCTCATTTTTTTTTTTTAAAGATTTTATTTATTTATTTGACAGAGACAGACCCAGAGAGAGAGGGAACACAAGCAGGGGAAGTGGGAGAGGGAGAAGCAGGCTTCCCGCCGAGCAGGGAGCCCGATGTGGGGCTTGACCCCAGGACCCTGGGGTCATGACCTGAGCTGAAGGCAGACGCTTAGCGACTGAGCCAGCCAGGTGCCCCTCACCTCCTCCTCATGCAGCCTTTCCTGACCCGGCCCCCACCGGCTCCATCCTCATCTCCTTTGCCGCCTTCTGTTCTCCCTTAACACCTAGCACCCAACACACAGTATATCTTTATACTCATCTCTCTGTTTTTGTTTGTGTTTATTTCCCCTACAGATGTCAGCCCCATAAGGGCAAAGATTTTTTTCTGGCTTGTTCTCTGCTGTGTCCCCAGTGCCCAGAACAGTGCCTCGCACACAGCAGGCACTCAATGAATGTTTGAAGAATAAACAAATGGGCGTGTGTGATCCCTGTGCCACTTGACCACTTAACCTGGCCTCACCCTGGCCCTGTACCCCTACCCCTCCCTGTCATGACAAAGGATCCGCTGGCCAGTTTGGAGAGCTCCTATCCCTGTTGGCTGCTATCCCTGGGTAAATTGGTCAGCCCAGGACCAGGGCATGTGGGGTAAACGTCGGGGGATCCAGAGGGAGGGCTGGTGGCACTGGGAGGTCCCTCCAAGCTTGTGCTGAAGGATGCTTAGTGAGCTGGGGTGGTTTGAGCCACGTGCAGGTAATGGCGTTTCCAGGGCCGTGGCACAGGTATCCCTGGAGGACAGCGTGGAGGAGGCATTTCTCCTAAATGTGTGCCCAACCGGATTACTGACAGGAGAGGGATGGTTCTGGATGGGAGGTCTTGTTCTGGGGTCTGAAGGAAGCATTCTGGAGGGGCAGCGTGGAGGGGATGCCCTGTAGTAATTTGGTCGCTTTCTATTTCTGCAATGACAAGCCTGTGTGTGTGTGAGACCCTGGACCCTGAGGACTCCATTCCCCTGTTTGTAGCTGCTCAGGAGGCCATGTGGCAAGTGCCCCACCCTTCTCTGGGCCCCGCCTTGAGTTGGGGAATTCTGTGCCACCCCAAATCTTCCCCCAGGGCCCCACAGGCTGCTCTGCCCCCTCCTGCCCCAACCTGCCAGATCCTGCAGCTTGGGCCAGCCTGCCCCTTGGGCCCCACAGAGAAGAAAGACCCAGGAACCCCCCAGGCTGGGTCCCATGGGATGGTAGCTAGGTGTGGCTTTCACCCGCCTCTCCCCATCCCACTAAGATCCAAGGTGGGGAGCCTGCTGAGCTGAACCAAGGAAATGAAGGACTCTGGAGGAATTCTGGGGTGCGAGGTGACCCAGAGGCATCCAACGAGCCCCTCTGGTCCCCTGCCTGGGCCTGCTGTTGGGTTCCCCACTCCCCAGCATTACTCTTACTGCCCAGGAGGAGGGTGGTGAAGAATCTGACCCCCAGCCCCAATTATATGACTTCAGAAATGTCGGGAGTGGGTGGAGAAAAACAGTCCCCCAAAGCAATGCCCACACAGGTCTGAGAAGGGTCCTTTGGCTCCAGAACCCCACCCGCTGTGGTGGTGGTGGTCTGGCGGCCTGCAGCTCCTGTCCCATCTTGTAGAGGGCAAAGTGGCAGTCAGGCATGCCCAAGGAGGCTGTCTTGGCGGCAGAGGGCACCCCGCCCCTCCTTTGCTTAGTTTTGTTCCTGGCCCCCCACCTGGGCACAAGGCCAGGCCCCAAGGCAGGGCCCCGTCCTGGGGAACAATGCAGCCGTGTTTCTCCGGGTGGAGGGGAGGTCGGTGGAGGATGTGGTGGGACAGACGCAGGCAGGGAGGGAGGGAGGGATCCAGGGACGGACTCTATCCCAGGGATACTCCAGGAGCTGGGGAGTTTCCCAGAGCCCCTGGGTAGGGCGGGGGGGCCGCGATGCTGGGAAGCCAAAGTGGGGAGGGAACCTTGATCCAGGACTGGGGGCAGAGTCTTGAACAGCAGCAGGAGAGGGTTGGGTGGGATAAAAGGAGGGACTTCCTGGGTTTGAAGAAGACACTGTGGAAGAACTGGAAGTGGGTATTGGTGTTTGGCAGGAACCCAGAATACCCAGGCCCATTGGCAGGAACCCAGGATACCCAGGCCCATTGGCAGGAACCCAGGATACCCAGGCCCATGCCCTCCCAGGGAAGGTACACAGTAGCGGTATGGCCTCCATCCTCTGCCGCCGCGCCTCCCACCCCACATCTCCCTTGCCCCCGCCCACGGCCTCCCGGGTTTCTCTTCCTGCGCAGGGGCAGGACTTTGCCAAGAGGGCTTTGGGGGTGCAAGGGGGATTAGGACCCCTGCTTCTGTCCTCCCTCCCCGCGGGGAGAGCCTTCGCTTAAAATCTGGGGCTGCTTCCAGAGTCCAGGGCCGGGAGGGGGAAGCTGGGCTGGGTTTGGGGCCCCAGGTAGAGTCGGGACAAGGAGGGAGAAAGTTGGGGCTGAGTTGGGGGACCGGAGAGAGAAAGTGGGGGCGGACCGGCTCCGGGGGCACATGACGGCGGCGGCCGCCCCGCCCCGCGCCCGCCCCCTGTCCGGCCGGGGGGAGGAGACGGGAAGGTTTTAAAAGCGATTCGGCCCCGCGGCGGGCCGGCCAGTGAGTGGGATGGAGCGCGGCCGGCGACCGACCCCGGCCCGTCTCGGGCCCGCCGCCCGCCCACGACTCTGCCACCGGGCCCCGGGCGGCGGCCGGAGCCCCGAGTGCCGGCTCCCCTCCCCCGCGGGTGAGTCGGGGAGGGAACCGGGAGGGAGGCGGCGGCGCCGCGGCGGCGGCGGCAACTTTTCCGCGCCGGACTCGTGGGCGGAGTGGGGGGTGCGCCCGGCGGGTCCCCAGCCCTTCGCGAGGGGGAGGGCGCCGCCCCGCCGCCGGTGGCTGGTGGGGGGGGGCAGCGGGGATCGTGCATCTGGCGGCGGCGGCGGCAGCAGAGTCCCGGGGCGCCCCCTACGGAGCGGGGGAAGGGCGGCCCAACCTTTACCCGCTCCCCGGGAACCCACTGGGGACCCCTAGCCACTCCCCCCCACCGGAGCCCCATGAGACCCATGAGAGCGTGGTGGGGAGGGCGGGTCCCACAGAGACTGGGGCAGGTCAAGGTGGGCACGGAGTCCGCGGCAGGGTGGGAAGGGGGAGGGCATATGCCCGGCTTGGGGTTAGGAGGGATGGATATATGGTGCCTGGACTCCTGGACTACCTATCTGGCCTTTGGTGGGGATGGGGCAGAGAAGTGGGTGGGGGTCTCCCAGAGTTCCATGGATGGCGGGTGACAGTGGTTCAAGTTCTCAACATATCAGCCAATGAGTGGAGGGGAGGCCTGCCATTGAGGAGATGGGGTGGGGGCCCAGCATTGTAGCCCCAGCTTGGTGGAGACTGGGGGACCCCTCTCCTCCCTCCTGGCCCCTCCTGGCCCAGAAGAGAAGAGCTCATTCAGGGTCCCTTAGGAAGGGGGCCCAGGGTTTGGGAGACTCCTGGAGGGCTGAGGCCCAGCCCCCTGTCGCCGCAGTCCTCATGCCCTTGGGCTGTGGGAGGGTGAAAGGGCCCAGACTAAAACCTGAACCTTGCATTCTAGCCCCACACTGACCTCTGACCCCAGCACTGGACTTGACTGCCACCAAAGCCCCCAGCCCTACACTGACTTGCCTATCCAGCCCAGCCAGGCCCCGCCAGACCCCGTGTCCTCCTGAATGCCTTGAAGGTGCAGTGGGCTCGCTGTCACCTGCCCCCTCCCTGCCTCGGCCCTAACCCGCTGCCCGCTTATGATGACGGGTGGTGGATGAGGGTAAGGCTGGGGGGGGGGGCGGTGTGGGACCCCTGGCATGAAGGGTGTCCTCTGGCAGCCCTGCCCATGCCAGCCGGAGCTGGAGGGCAGTACCCAACAGGTGCCCCGGCTCAGAGGCGAGGTGATGTGGGACACACCCTGTCCGCTCGCCCACGCACCCTGCCCGGGCCAGCCCGTGCGCATGTGTTCACATGCCGCCGTCCTGGGAAGGCACGGGCCCTGGGGCCGGGTGCCAGCTCTGTCCCAGCTCCCAGAAGGGCGCCCATTGGCCTCTGCCCTTGCAGGATGTCCTCTGGGAGCTCCTTCAAGACCCCAACTGGCAGGCCTCGTCTGTGGGCCTAAGAGGGGGCCCGAAAATAGCTGCGGGCCTGGCCCAGGGCTGGCACGCGGAGCACATGCGTGACAGGGCGTGTCCCGGGGGGGTCGGGCCTGTCTGTGCTGGCCCGGCCTCCAAGTCTCCGCAGACCCTTGCTCACTGGAGAGCCACAGCGGAGGCGGATGCTCCAGGGTCCTCCCGGGGACCCCTGTATCCACCCCTGCCTGTTGTAAGTGGAGGCCAGATGTTCCGTGGAAGCCGCAGCTGCTGGGCAGATCCCTGTCTCATCTGCAGTCCCAGGGTGACTGGCCCTATGCTCAGGGTGGGTAGAATGGGGTGACCGGCTTGCTATGGGCTCAGGTGGCACTTTGATATACCTTAAGGCATTTTTCAGAGTGTGCCCTTCGCCTTGGGAAGCTGAGTGGAGGGGGGTCTGTTTGCGGTGAAGAAAACCACCGGGAACCCTGGGTGGGGGGCACCTTTCCCGCCCCTCACTGGGCTGGCTGGCCAGCCCGTTCCTATTTGGATACACTTTCTGCCAGGAGCAGTCCTGGCTTTTCCTTAGATTTACTGCCTGACCTTGGGCCTGGCTCTGAATTCCTGCGGGCCTCAGTTTCTCCATCTGTAAATGGGGAGCGTCGGAAAGCAAGCGGAGAGAAGCGCACTTCCCCTTCCCGTGGCAGATCCCTTGTGGGGCGCTCTGGCCACCTTCCCTCCTGCCTTCGGGTGTCCTGGGTGGACAAGGAGGTGTGTCTGGAGAAGGCTGGTCACCTGGGAAGGACGTACACGGAGGGCAGTGGACGTGGGCGTGTGGGAATCCTTGGGCAGAGAAGGACGCCGCCATGCTGGGCACGGCTGAGTCATGCTCCAGCGGCGCCTTGCCCCAGGGTGCTGGAGCTGGCGCCACCCTGGGTGTGGTCACTGAGCTGTGGCCCTGGGCAGAGCAGGCCTGGGTGGTCTGGGATGGGGGGCCTGGGTTGAGCCGCCAGGAAGCTGACTGCTGAGCCTCGAAGACCCTTGGCCTTCCCCTGGCCTGGGTCTGGCATCACCATCCAGGACTGTGGTCACCCACACCCTTAGAATGCCTTGGGGATCCTGGGGGCCCTAAGCCTTGGGCCTGGGAATTTTGGGGGTGTTGAGGAAGGAGGACATGACCCAGAAGCCAGTGATTTGCCTTGAGGCCAGGGCCCCCCCAAAACACAGGCCAGGACCGGGACGTGGACCTGTGAGGACAAGGCAAGGGATGAACATGGCAGAAGGGTGTGCCGCTCAGTTAAGGGCTCTCAGTGTGGACGTTAGGGGGCCCCTGGGAATTCTGTGACTGACCCTAGGGGGATTAAAGTTTAAGGCAGGGGTTGGAGTTTGGTGTGGCGTGGCTGGGCGCAATGGGGGCTGGGATATGACTTGCATGGTTCCCCTATTTATAACAAGTGATTCAGTCCTCACTTACTCACCCCTTCCTGGGCCTGGCCCCTCCCCCCAGCCCTGGGTGGGCAGCGGGGGCCCACCCACTTGCCACTGTCCTGCCCTCTTCCACCCAGGTGCCAGCCTCTGAGGGCTGCCCATCGGGCCGGTTGTTATGGTCGCTGTGCTGGGCCTGGGGTAATGGATGGGGGGCTGGTGGTCAGGCGGCCCTTGGCTGGGCAGCCCAGGTTGGCGGCTGGCTCTGGGCCCGGCCCAGGGAGCCTCTGCGGAGAGTCTAGGCCCATTAGGCAAAGCGTTAGTGACAGGCTGGGCGGGCGGGCGGTGGCGGGCAGGGCGGGGCCTGTAGCCCTTGGTATTTTCCGATCCCAGCTGCTCCGAGAGGGTGGAAAGTATTTGGGGACCAGGCTTGGGGGCGGTGGTGGTGGCGCCCCCGGCGGAAGCTGCCCCTGATTCATTCTTGGAGCATGGGGTTGGGGGGGCAGCAGTATGCCTGCCTGCTTCCGTCTCATGCCTCCACGCCCTGTCTGCCGAGCGTACTCCAGCATACATGGACACACACATACATGCACACACACGCACACATACATACACGCACAATACGTACATGCACACATACGTACATGCACACATACATACATCAGTGTGGCTCGGGGCCTGCTTTGCTCCCTCGGCCCAGGGGCCCATCTTCTCCCCAGGCTTCCAGCTGCCAAGAACTTGGCCTTCCCTGGACACCACCTCTTGTGAGCCCAAGAGGGACACCACTGGTAACGGGGGCCCTGGCTCCTGGGTACCTGCGTGGCAGTGCCCCATCCATGAGAGACCCAGGCCTTTTGTGCCTTTAGGGATGGGGAGTGGCCTTGGCCCCGGCCCGGGGCTCTGTGCAGGGGAAACCCCACAGGAAACGGGCCTGGCCAAATGGCCGCCCTTCCCGTTCTCGTCCCTGGGACACGAATGTGCTGTCTCACTTCCGGAGGCGGCCCAGGGAGGCCGGCCGCCCTGCAGGGCCTTGTCTGCTCCCGGTTGGTGCCCCCAGACCCTGAGGGGACAGGGTTGGGCTGGGGCCTGCTGGGAAAGCGGGTGGCCAGTGTGTGTGTCTGCGTGTATGGGACGGGTCGGGGAACAGAGCAGGACATCTCTCTCCACCTGTCTCCCAGTGGTGGGTGCCACCGGCTCTGGGCACCGGGGTCCCGCCAGTGTTTGGAGTCCTCATTTCTACCATCTTTTCTGTTTCTGCCTGATGACGACAGCCCAGCCCCATCTTAATTACACGTACCACTTCTGAGATCCTTACCGCCACATCCCTGCTTTGCAGATGGGGAAAGGGAGGCCCAGAGAGGTTGAGTGACTTTCTAGGAGTCACCCAGCTAGGAAGCTACAGAGCCAGGGTTCAGATCTGCCCAAATGGGCTCCAGAGTTGGGGTGTCCTAGCCACAGGGCTCTTGCCATTAAGGAGATCTCCATTTACTGAACATAGGGCGGCTTCATGGGCTTGTGACCATGCAGCTCACAGCGTCTCTCTTGCTTAGAATGACCTGAAGCCTGGATTAATGTTCTGCTGTCAGCGTCTTGACATTCTTAACTTGTGAAGAAGGGGTCCCACAATTTCATTTTGCACTGATTCCCGAAAGTTCTGGAAGGCGGTCCTGGTGCTGGGCACTTGCTGAAATGACATACGCACTCTCGGTGAAACTTCCCTGTGCTATTCAGTTGAGGCTCTTGGCTCTGTTTTACAGATGGGGAAACTGAGGCTTGGAGGGCATTTGGAAAACTGCTGAGTGGGGATTTGCACCTTGAGCCTGGGTCTGGTGCTCTTGGGGATGTGTGTGCCCGAGGGGAGAGCGGGACACCCACTGCAGGCATCTGCTCTGCTGGGGTGCAGGCTGAGGCCTGGCTACTGAGGAGACGGGGCCACGGGGGGAGGCCCTGGTGGTTTCCTCCTGCCCTTCAGGCTTCTAGGAAGTGGCGCCAGCTGGGGTGAGATCACTTCCTCACCCGCCTGCCCGCCACCCCCTCGACTTCCTCTCCTCATGGCCCCATTTAGCCCGCCCAGGGCTCACTGGTGGGGAGGGGCGGGAAAAGCGGGGGGGACCTGGCTCTGGGAGTCCCTGCAGCCTCCTTGGCCCAGAGGGATTTGGGCATCTCTGCCTCTGGGACTGAGGGCAGGGCTGCGGTGGGGGCGTGCAGCCCGATGGTACAGCATTCTCTTCGGCGGCGGCTGCGTGCGGGGAGGAGGGCTTCCCTCCGTGGGCAGCAGCAGGCGGGGGGACCCGCAGGACAGACATCTTCAAATCTCATTACCTCCTTTGCTCTCTCTCCCCCCCTCAGGTGCCAGCCGCTGGCCCCACCCGGTGCCCCCCCCACCCCTGTGCCATGGCCGGCTGGGGTTCCTGGGGATGGGATTTGCTGCCTGTCACAAATCACATTGCCAGGGATTTCCAACCGACCCTGAGCCCTGCCTCTGGGGCTTCCACCACCGCCACCACCACCGCTGAGGACACTGCCCGAGGATGGGGGTGGGGGTGGGTGGCACAGAGGCCCCTGCTGTCTGCGTCCGGCCTGGGGAGCAGGGCTTAGCTGCTTGTGAGCAGAGTCCACACCAAGTCGTGTTCACAGTGGCTAAGTTCCGCCCCCCGGGACCCCGCCTCCTCCGGCTCTGGGGCTGTGCCTGCCTGTCCCACTGTCGGGGCCTCCCTGGGCTCTGCCTCCCGTGCCTACTGAGCTGAAACACAGTTGATTTGTGCAGACTGGCTCAGTTCAGCAGGAACAGGAGTCGAGCCCCCTCGGAGCCTGTGGCGCCTGCCTTCCTTGGGTGGGCTGATGCCTGGGGGGCGGGGGGGAAGACCCAGACCTGTGTCTGGAGGAGGGACTTGGGGAGGGATGTAGCCTGGAATGGGGTAGGTGGACCCAGCTGTCTGCTGCAGGCCCCCTCCCCCAACAATGTACTTGGGGAGGGCCTCCCCCAGCACAGTCCTACCCATAGCTGGGCTGTACTCCTGGGGAGAACGGGCAGGTGGGTGGTTGCCCTTCCATGAAAGAGGGAAAAGCTGTGTCTGCAGCCCCCCACCCCCCCCACCCCTCCCAGCCTGGAGCCTTTCTCTCCCAAGCCTGGTGGGGCATGGGCCAGGCCTGTGCCTTCCCAGCAGCCAGTTACTCAAGAGGAAGCTGCCTTGGGTCCCCAGACCGTTAAATGCCAACTCCAGCTTCCGGAACCAGGCTGGCCTGACCTGAGTGTGCCTGGCCCCTTCTCACTGAGCCCTGCAGCTTCCTAACTCGGGGGGAGGAGCCCTGACACCCTCCTGGCACATGGGGCGGGGAGCAAGGTCCCTGTGAGTCCAGAAAGGACACAAACGGGCCTTTTCAGTCCTCAGGTGGTGCCAGGCTGTCCAAGAGTTGAGACTGTCCAGTATCAGATGGGATGGGGCTCTTTTTGGAGTGAGACTGGGGAAACAGGGAGCAGCCCCCTAGGGCGTCAGGGCTGGCCCAGCATTCCTGTCCCACCTGGGGTAGCGGCCAACATGAGCTCGGGGCAGGGGTCTGTGTTGTGTGTGGCTCCTGTCGTCCAATTAAAATAAAAGCTGCCCCCTGCCTCATTCCTGAAGGTCTGATAGTTTGTGAGTTTGTGGTTTACTCCTTCCTCCCATCCCTGCAGTTTTGGCCTTTTGGGTGGGGAGGGTTGATGGCCCTGAATTTACTGTTCCCGCACCCTGAGCTCCTGACCTCACAGGATCTTCATCTCTGTCCCACCTGTTCTGAGGAAAGCCACAATTTAGTCACATGGGCAGAGAAGGCTGGAAGGGTGACCTTGAGGGGTGTCCTGGGATTAGGGGGTGACCCTGAAGGAAACCCTGACTTTCAGGGCTGATGCAATGACAGAGAGCACTGTTCTGGGAAGGATCTAGATGGGGTCATCATGAGGAATGTCCCAAGCCCAGGACATTGACCTGAGTGTTCCTGGCCCCAATGGGGGGGGTGGGGGTGGTGTCAAACCCAACCTCTGGTGGCAGCCAGCGGTGACCCTGAGGGAAACACTGGGCATTCAGAGATAACTGGGACCTGAGGGTCCTGAGCTAGTGATATTTGGGGGTGGCTGAGACATAAGGGAGAGCTCTGGCCTGAGGCAAGACTTGGGGTGCTGGTATCTGAGAATGCCGGCAGGGAACTTGGGCTTGAAGTGGGCATGTGTCACGAAGGAATCCCCGGGCCCAAGGGGGACATTTTTGTATGACTTTGAGAGCTGAGGGGCACAGTAAGGGGGAGAGGCCCAAGTCCGAGGACGGCGTCTGCAGGCAGCTGAGACTACAGGGTGAAGGAAACGCCAAGCACGCCGGGACTGCCACCTCTACCCGAGCAGGCCTCCAGGCGGCGCAAAGGAGCACGCCGGCCAGCTGGAGTCCGCCGGCACATACCTGCGGGAACGGGCGAGGCGGGGCGGGAGATGGGTCCGTGTCCAATTGGCCCTCTTTGGCGGAGGGCGTGGCCATGAGCCAATCGCTGTGCCCAGCGCAGCCGATACTCCGCCCACGACTGCGCGCGCCGCCTTGGCGCCCTCTAGCGGCCAGCCCCGCCCCTCCGGGAAGCTTGTCCTCGCCTGCCCCGGCCCTGACGGTGACCCAGACACACTTTGTTCACCCATCTGTCACTCTCCAAAGACAGGCAGATCCCAAGGGAGGTCCTGCTTCTCAGGGAGCCAGGGAAGGAAGGCAACCGAGGGCCTTCTTCGCAGTCCCCCAGGCCACACTGCTCCCTCTACTTGGGGACTCGAAAACCTCATCCGCGGCGTAGGAGGCCCGGGCCGCACCCGGGCCACGCCCCTCACTGACCACGCCCACCCTTTCTCGCCAACGCCAGAGCCCGCCCACCAAGGCCTAGCCCAAGCCCGGGATTCCCATCTTTGTTTGGTGGGTGGGGAGGGGTATGTCTTCCCCTCCCAGGTGCACCCGGCACCTGACCCGGCCCCGGTGCTCAGCAACTTGGGAGCCAAGCACCCCCAGTAGCGGTGTCTGGAGCCAGGGCACCCCCTAGTGGCCGTTGCCAGCACTGTAAGGACCGTGAAGCCTGAGGTGGCCGGGGTCAGTGGGCTCCAGCATAGTAAAGCTCTGTCTCTTCCTAAAATTGGTACCCTTTCCTTAAACTTTGGAACCCCAGTTTTCTCCTCTGTAAAATGGGAAGGATATTCCTCCCGACTCGTAGGACTGTTGGGACAGGCGTTGTAACAGGTGACAGGTATAAAGCACTCCTCTTGGGGGTCAGCCCTATCTGATAGTATCTACACTAGAGCCACTGGGTGAAACCAGCAGTCTGTACCCTTCCATCCCTCTCTTGAAGTTATGCCCCGAGCAAGCAAGGCTGGAGATTTTCTGTGGAGGGATCAGGGAGCCCTGGTCTGGGGTGGGGGAGAGGGGACACACCTCAGTCTCAAAAGCTGTGTTCAATATCAAAAAAAAAAAAAAAAAAGGAGAAAGGAAATACAATATACAGTTCAATAAATAGAAAAAAAGTTACAAAATGACATGATTTTGTCCTTAATTACAAGAGGAGAAAAGACAGAGGGGGGTGATCGGGGTGGGACACACTCCCTCCTCGTCCCTGGGCCAAGGTGGGGCAAGGGAGACCCAAGAGAGACAGCAGCTGCGATTCAGAGCCACAAATAGAAAGGCAAAATAGAGGGAAATATGGAAAGGGAGAGTAAGATGAAGGGGTGGAGCAGGGCCATGGAGGAGGAGAAAGGCAGAGCCAGAGACAGAGCCAGAAAATGCCAAGGTGCCAGCCTCTCTCCTCTCCAGATCTGGGGTGGGGGTCCCTGGCTCTCCTGGGCTTGTCTCCCCCCAACACCAGGTTTGGAGGACAGCATGAGCCTGGCTCAGTTCCTGAGTTGTATGTCCAGTGACTAGCAGGTAGGGGGAGGGACAGTAGTGACCCCTCGAGCCCACACTGGGACCTCGGCATCCTCGGGAATGGGAATCCTGGCCGGACTGGGGGGGTGAGGTATGTGGCTGAGGCCTGAGGCCTCTTTAAATCCTTCAGTGGGGATGAGCCGTCGGTACCAGGTGGGCAGCCTGGCACGGGTATAGGGCTGCGGAATGGGGCCCCTGAGGCAGTGAGGGGAGGGTATAAAAGGAGATTTAGACGCCCTAACACAAGTCCCCTGGTCACCCAGAGTGGGGTGTGGGGAGGGTCTGCTACATTGACTTTAAGAGCCAGTTTCTGGAAAGTCCTGCCTTGCAGCCCCCACCCCCACCCCCAGTCCAAGCCGGGCCTGCGAGTCTGGGGAGGGAGAGCTTGCCTATTGCTTTTGGGGTGCCCCAGGCGGGGTCATACCAGCTGCCCAAGCACACACCCCCTTCCAGGCCTCTGGGTGGTGGTATGGCTTCTGATCCTTGCGTCTCGCACATTCGCTCGCACACTCCTAGGCACGCATGTGGCAGGACGTCATCCCCTCTCCCCCCCCCCCGGGGTGCCCCCTCCAGCAGGGTTTGGGGGGGATGGCAGGTAAGACCACCTAGCTCCGGCCAGGCTCCTTCCCTGACTTAATACTGAAATGCCACATGGGCCCCCAGTGTTGAGGCCCCTGATGGAGAGCTGGCACCACAGGAGCAGGGGCCAAGGGGGTCCCCGCCGCGGCCTGCTGCCCCTCAGCCGAAGCGCTCCCGCACCAAGAGCATGAGCTTCTTCTTGCCCTTGTAGGTCTGTTTGAGGTTCTCCAAGAACTGGGCGAACTGCAGGTGCCCGTCAGGCGCCAGCAGGAAGGTCTCCCGGGCCTGGCCCAGGAACTCGATGAAGTCGCCATAGTGCCGCGGGCTGATGTGCGTGAGGCGGGAGTGGCTGGTGGCGATGTAGGCGGCCACCGCGGCGTCCAGGAGCTGGCAGAGCGGAGCCCGGTCGGCGCCCAGCGGCTTGGCGGCGCGGCGGGCCCCCAGGGGCCCCAGGCCAGGTGCCGCGAGGGTCCAGCGGCGCAGGATGTCAGAGAGCATGGGGGCGCAGTGGATGCTGCGGATGATGAGGGGGACGATGGCGGAGAGCTCGTGCCGGCCCAGCGAGTGGCTGAGCGAGCAGGCCCAGAGCACGTCGTTGACGGCGGGGTGGCTGTCCTGGTTGAAGGCGATGCTGAGCTGGGCCAGGGCCAGCGCGGCCAGCTTGTAGGCCCGCAGCGGCAGGCCGCGCTGCTCCATGTAGCGCGCCACCGGGAAGAGGTGGGCGTGGCCCAGGCCGCCGGCCGCCGCGTCCAGCACGATCTGGTAGGCGGCCTCGAAGGCCGCGCGGTTCTTCTCACACAGCGTGAGCGCCGGCAGGGCGCAGTTCTGCGGGTCTTTCATGGCGCACTGCAAGGCCAGGGTGCGCGCGCAGGCCCAGAGCTCCTCCCGCTGGGCCGCGTCCAGCTGCAGCCGCGACAGCGTGGCGTGCGTGGTGCCCGTCACCGCCACGATGGTGGCAGCCTCCACCGGCGTGAACAAGGAGTACCAGTTCTGCATGATATTCATCAGCGCTTGCGGGCCTGGGGGCGGCAAGAGGGCAAAGCTGGCCGGGAAGGAGGGCGGGGGCCGCTCGGGTGTGCCCGGGTTTGCCCTCAGGCCGCCATCCCCGCCCGCTGGGGCTGAAGACACAACCCCTCTGCTTCCACCCCCAGCTCGACACAACCCGCACTTCATCTTCCAAAGGGGGGGGGGGGGAATGCGTGTGGGGGGGGTCTACCTATGCTTCAGGGCTCCTGTCCCTTCTCCAAGCCACTTCAGCCTGGCCAGCTTCCAGGCCTTCGTCCAGCTCTGTCCCCCCAACCCGCCTCCCCACCAGCGTAGCCCTGACCACGGGCTGGAGCCAGGGTAAAGACTCTGCTTCTCTCTCCGCAGGGAGATGGGTGGCGGGTTCCCTCGGGGACTCACCGATCTCTGTGGCACAGCTGACCAGCCACCGCACCATCTCCCGCCGCCGCCAGGTCATGGTGTTCAGGGTCATGCGCATCACCTGCGGCCCGGGAGGGGAGAGAGAAGGGGATCACCCAAAACCTCGCACTGGCCTACAGAGGGGATCAGGGATCCTGAGGGGCCCAGGAGACTCGGGCCTTAAGGGTTGAATCGGCGGTGAGCTACGTGATCCGGACAAGTGGCCTCACCTCCTGGGCCTTCATTTTCCTCCTCTGTAAAATGGGGATTGAAAACCTCTACCTCAGGGCTCTCTTCTAAGAATTCAGTGCAAATTTTCAGGTAAAGATCTTGCACAGGGTGGCTCAGTTGGTTGAGTGGCTGCCTTCGGCTCAGGTCATGGTCTCAGGATCGTGGGATGGAGCCCCGCGTCGGGCTCCCCGCTCAGCGGGGAGTCTGTTTTGACCTCTCCTTCTCCCTCTGCCCCTCCTGCTCATGCTCTCTCTCTCAAATAAATAAATAAAATCTTAAAAAAATAATAAAATAAAAAATAGTTGTTTTAAAAAAAAGATCTTTAAAAAAAAAAAAAGATTTTATTCATTCATTTGACAGAGAGAGAGAGACAGCTAGAGAGGGAACACAAGCAGGGGGAGTGGGAGAGGGAGAAGCAGGCTTCCCGCTGAGCGGGGAGCCCGATGCAGGGCTCGACCCCAGGACCCTGCTATCATGACCTG